TCCGAGGAACAAGGGGCCGTCCCTTTCACAAATCCAAGTGACGGCGGGGAGGACTCCCCCATTGGTGGCAAGCTAGCTCTCTTTGCACACAGATGGCAGGCCACCACCACGGATCTCTGGGTCCTAAATACTATCAGATTCGGCCTCTCACTGGAATTCATCTCCAAACCCCCGAACCATTTCGTCCCTTGCCCATCGCCCAAGGATCCAATCAAGGGGAGGCTCATCAAGGAGGCCATCCAGCACCTGGACATCCAGGCTATAGAACCGTTGCCAAAGGGTCAACAGGGACAGGGATTCTACTCCATCTTATTTTTAGTCCCAAAGAGTTTGGGGAGGTGGAGACAATTCTAGACCTAAAAAGTCTAAACAATCACCTGGCATACAGAAAATTCAAAATGCAGACTCTCCAATCAATATTGGCGGGCAGACTCTCCAATCAATATTGGAAGTCAGAAGGGGAGACCTTCTGACTTACATAGATCTGACGGAGGCTTACCTTCACATTCCCATATTTCCGGAGCACCAAAGGTTCCTCAGGTTCTGCCATGCAGGCCAGCATTTTCAATACAGGGCCCTGCCCTTTGGCCTTTCTTCGGCCCCCAGAGTATTCACAAAGGTTCTAGCGACTCTCGCTGCACACCTACGAGCCATTCCCGTACGCATCCAGTGCTACCTGGATGACATTCTTATCCAATCCGCCTCAGTCCAGTCAGATCTGGCTCTGACCCTAAGGACTCTTCAGGCTCACAGGTTCTTAATAAACTTCCAAAAGAGTCAGACGGTTCCTTTGACCCGCCTCCTTCATCTGGGAGCCGTGATAAACACTCTAAAGTGCGAGGTCTACCTCTCCAGAGCGTCAAGACAGCATTTGGACCTTGGTCAGGCAGATCCGAAGGAAACGAGTCCACACTGGCCACACACTCACACCTGCTGGGAAAGATGATCTCATGCTTAGCAATCGTGCCCTGGGCACGACTGCACTCCAGGGACCTACAATGGTTCCTGCTTCCGTTCCAAAAGATAGGAACCGGTTCCTCCAACCAGAAAGTAAGGGTGCCACCAAGGGTTCTGAAGTCGCTCCAGTGGTGGTCGTCCCCATTAATAAAAAAGGGACACATGTTCAAGGAACCCAACCGAGTCATACTGACCACGGATGCCAGCCTGTTCGGCTGGGGAGCACATCTACAATCACAAATGGCTCAGAACCAATGGTCCAAGGAGGACTTAAGACACAATATAAACTGGTTGGAGCTCAGAGCCATACACTTGGCTCTCCGCCACTTCCACAACACGGTGGCGGATCAGCACGTGCTAGTGTTCACGGACAACGTGGCGAAAGCCCACGTCAACCGACAGGCAGACAGTCCAGATCCCTCATGACCGAGGCCCAATTGATGGGAACATGGGCAGAAAACAACCTAGCCTCTCTCAGAGCCGAACACATATCAGGAGAGGCAAATCAACAAGCGGACTTTCTGAGCAGGGCAACAGTAGACCACTCAGAGTGGAGACTGCATCCAACTCTCTTCCGGGAGGCGTCAGAGAGGTTCAGTCATCCGGTGCTGGACCTATTTGCCAGCCCCAGAAATACCCAGCTCCCAAGGTTCTCCCGCTTCCCGTCACAGGTCGCAGAGAGAGCAGACGCGCTCCAGGGACACTGGCCGAAGGGACTGCTGTACGCCTTTCCACCTCTCCCCCTGATGCAGGCAACCATCAGGAAGATATTGCAGGAGCAAGCAGAGGTGATACTCACTGGCCAAGACGGCACTGGTTTGCCGACCTCGTCTTTCGGTCTCAATCCCATGGAGGATTCCCCAAGACCGAATTTTACTCAGCCAAGGGACTCTACAACGCCTCTACAACACCAACTAGCCGCCTGGCCCCTGAACGGAGCCTCCTAGAAAGGGAGGCCTATTCACAAAGAGTCATCAAGACGACCCAGGCCTCAAGAAGGCCTTCAACCAACAGAATTTACGACTCCACATGGAGAAATTACTGCAGTTGGTGCGAAAAGCAGCAGCTAGATCCCTTCAGGATTACGATCCCAGGGGTCTTAGACTGTTTGTGGGAGGGACTTGACAGGGGCTTAGCACCCAACACAATTCGCAGACAGGTGGCCACCCTATCCACTATACTCACATATGGCAACTCTGAGCCACTGGCCAAACATCCAGTGGTGCGATCTTTCATAAGGGGCGCAACAAATAACAGACCTCCCGTGGTTCACAGATATCCCTCCTGGGACCTACCTAGGGTCCTACAGGCCATCACCGCACCACCATTTGAACCTATCCGGGCATGCACCTTACAATACTTGACACTTAAGGTCACATTTCTCGTCGCCGTAACCTCGGCGAGACGCATCTCAGAGTTGGCAGCACTATCAGCTAGAGAAGATTTCTGCACATTTCAGAAGGATAGGGTGGTCCTACGTCTGGATTCTTCATTCCCAAGGTCAACTCCTTATTCCACAGAGCTCAAGAGGTAGTGCTACCAGATTTTTGTCCTCAGCCCTCCCATGAATTGGAACGCAAGTGGCACACCTTAGACGTTCGCAGGGACTTAAAGCAGTACTTAAAGCGGACTGCTCCCTTTCACAAATCTGAGGCCCTATTCGTATCCTTCCATTCACATTCTAGGGGTCGAAGGGTCACTGCTTCCACAATCGGCAGATGGATCAGGAATTGTATAGCAGAAGCATATCAGGGGCAATCGCTTTCAGTCCCTAGACAAATCACGGCCCATTCCACTCGCAGCGCTGCGACATCTGCAGCGTGGGCAACTCAGGCACCGATTGAGGAGATATGTAGGGTGGCGACGTGGGCGCCACCTTCCCCTTTTATCAGACACTACCAGTTGGATAGGTTCGCATCGACGGAGGCCTCATTTGGCAGGAGGGTCCTTCAAGGTGTAGTGTCAGAGAGTGGGACACAGGCCCAGACGGCTTCCCATCCAGAGGGACAATGAGGCATGGGTATGTCCCATTGGTGGATTCTCCACTCGTCATGCTGGAGAAGGGGCGTTGTCTTACCTGAACGCCTTTTCTCAGCATGACGATGGAGAATCCACTCCCACCCTTAAGGCCAGTCAGGTCCTGTGTTGGGAAGAAAGTGAGCCAACACATTAAATCATAGTCAACAGCCTTGCCTCAGTCGAGACTGGGAGTTGGTCTCAGGAAGAGGAGGCATGGCAATTTGGTTGACTTAGTCTATGCGAGCAGAAAAGCAAAACCCATTGGTGGATTCCCCATCGTCATGCTGAGAAAAGGCGTTCAGGTAAGACAACGCCCCTTTTGCTTGTTCTGTGTTTTAACTAAGAAAAAAAAGCAGAAGTGTCTTATGAGGTGTATGTATAGGGCAAAGTCTCTCTTCCCTTATTCTCCTTCCCTTTGAGTAGTTGCCACTGAGTTTGAATTCAAGCACATCCTGTCTATCTAGTTTTCTCCCCATATTTCTTCCCCCATAGCTGCTGTTGATGGCCTTGCTTTTCCCCCACTATGGGAGACCTCCAAGAGGATACCCATACTTTGCATATCCCTATTACTGTGCTGTTACAAGAAATAACTTTAATTGTTTGTGAGAAATTGTTTTTCCCTGTCAGATACTCTCAAACTAATGGGATACAGATGTTATCTTAGTATTCCAGCACATCTGGAAAGCATCAAGTTGGGGATGCTTGGTACAAGACTTAGTGCAGTTTTCGATGTGTAAACACTGATTTGGGGTGACATGAAGTATACAAATTAGGGCTGTGATTTAAAACTTAGTGCTGTAGCTTGAAAGAAATGTAAGATTTTAATACAGAAATGGGGCATTTTGCAAAAATAGTAGAAATTAACGATATTTAATATAGTATACTGATATCTGCAACCAAAATTCATATTGTACTGCATGTTCTGCAGTATTATGATCATGGCTTACTAAAAGGTTTCTTGACTTTGATGTAGTGGTTGTTTTAAAGCAAGCTGGAGTATGGGTTAGGTTTTTATTTTGACTTGCTTCTAATTATAATGAATGTTTTGCTTGGAGGGATGCCTTTAAGTTGCATGAAGTATATGAAGAGCTAGTTATAGTAATCATAATTTAAAAGCCTTAACCTTCATTCTGTATCTCTTAAATTGAACTGAATGTTTTAGTAAATTTAAGGTTGTTTGTCTTTCTGCTAATATCACTCAGTCAATCTTTATGTTTAGCAGGATTTATATTGCCTGTCTGTTGTGGCCGAATCACAAACCCCAGTTCAATGCCATCAAATAGGAATTAGAAAAATCCACAAAAATCATTTGAAAAGATAGCAGTTTTTTAATTCATATTTTGCCATCTTATTGACTTTTGCATCAAATCTTTCCTATTGATAATAAAAATTGAAGGTGCAGTCTTTCCTTTAATCTCTAATATATGACATGCAGAGTTTAATACAAGTTCATCTTGTTGGTATGTGATGTGCAATTTGTTTATTGACTGTTCTACTTGTGCAAACTTAATGTGGCATATTCTTTTTTTCAAACAAAGTTCCGGAAATCAGTGTGTGTTGAAGCTGTATGGTGTCTCTTATGTAACAAAACATTGATTTTGAACATGGAAGTAAGCCAGAAAAATATGGGAAAGATGAAAGCAAGTATTGACATTTGTATATTTAGCTGGCCTTGTAGAACTTTGTACTGAATACATTGATCAAAAATTTCTGTGAGTCCAAGAGAATAATGGCAGATATTTCTGTATTCCAGTATCCTTCCCTCTTATGATAACACACAAAAATAAAAACTAGATTCTTTGTACATGAAGTACTTAAAATTGTTCATTCTTCCATGTACATGCTCCACAGTATTTCAGGACTGTACTTTCTGTTGAAATTAGGTGAGCTGTATTATAAAGGCTTTAAATAAAAATTTAATGCAAGTCACTGGCAGTATGTTTACAGTTAGTTTAGATAAATGCATTGTCCTTCAAATTAGTTATTTCTGGCTTTATGTAATATAGCTCCTGAATTTTTTCCAGCAGCATAATAAAATGGCTAATCAGGTGAATGGTAATGCGGTACAGTTAAAAGAAGAGGAAGAACCAATGGATACTTCCAGTGTTACTCACACAGAACACTACAAGACACTGATAGAGGCAGGCCTCCCACAGAAGGTGGCAGAAAGACTTGATGAAATATTTCAGACAGGTATAATATGCATTTCTTGTTTTTGATTGGTTATAAAAGTGAAGGCAAAAAAAATATCAAATTTGTTAGGCTTTAAAGATGAAAAACTGCTGTATTTTGCACTGTGTAGCTTTGAATGTACTGCTGCTTTCACTTTGAGGTTGAATATATTGACAGTATCTTAGGTCTTTAGGACACTGTTTCATAGACTCACAAATAAAAGTGGACATTGCTGCCTACTGAACTGTAATTTTTTTCCAATATTACAATCATTTGCTTCTACTTTGCTACCATCACCAATTTATGGTGCTTAGGCTAAACATAGTATTTCAGTAGGTGGTTTAAAGAGGGGAAGTAGCTTGTTTGGCTCGCTTTGGGGCTACATTTGAACTCTAGTCTATATGTTTGTCTATATCCTAGTGAATAGTTTTAATTTATTTAAGTCATTTTATTGAAGTATTTAGTTTTATGATCATTGTTTGAATTGTATTTTATCTTACTTGGAGCAAGTGGCTTGTGTATTTTAAAAAGAGAGAACACAAAAGAATTTTAGGATGCACATACCCTTTTGCTGTGAAAGGAGACAATTTCTCTTCTTTAGTTTGTGTGTGGTGAATATATTTAGATAAATAAATAGAATTCCTTCATTCCCTTGCCTCAAATATTTCAGAGAGAAGATTTAATCTGTCTTCTTTTTCTAAAGCCCTAAAATGTTTTGAAAGTTTAAGATAATTCAAAAGAATACCATGTCTGTCTTTATTATGATAGTATTTTGACTCATGTGGTAATCTGTCTTGAAATACAGTCCAATCAATGAATGTCTGATAAGGTAGTGCTGTCTCCTTAGAGAAGTACTTCTCTAGGGTTGAACTAAGCTGATATTCACATAGTGGCTTGAGCATAGTTGTTTGAAAAGGGAATGTGAAGATATAAGTTCATATTAAAACTTTACTGCCTGGCTTCAATATATTTGTAGAGATGTATCTTCATGTGTAAATTTTAAAATTTTAACCCACTTGGGTCTGTTAATGCAGTTGGATACTTCTCATTTCATGCCTAAATAATTAAAAAAATATTTTCATGAGTTTTAATCATCTGAGGTTTGTCCATGTACAAGAGCTGCAGGGGCCTTTCACCATGCAGGATCAATTCTGAAATTGCAATCTCATGACACTGCTGCTATTTTTTGTGCTTTAGAGTAAGGTGTTTCAGTATTTAAAACTTTAAATATTAATAAACACATACATTATATTTCTTGAAAGATTGTGCCAATATCTGACATTTCACCATTTAAATGCAAGGTTAATGGAACTTGCAGCGCTCTACGTTTTTATAATATTTGCTTCTAAGTCTTTCATTATAGAAAAAAAACCAAAGCTTTCAGTGTATATGTATCAGGGCTGGTCCTACTGTATGTAGGTCTGTACCTGTATGCTTAAAATTAAGTATTGAAAGTTCATAACAGGGCTCGAAATAATGGAGAGGAAGGGTATGGCAAAACCAAAAAATATTAATTGTAATATCTACTTTTTATAAACATGGGGGGGGTAACATTTTCTGATGGGAAGTGGACTTTATACATTATTCCAGTAACTGGTGCAGCACATTGTGGTGATAGAACTGTTTCCTTATCTATGACTTGTAATGGCTCCATTTGAAAGAAAAAAAGCTCTGAAAACAGATTTTTTTATTTAGAAATCTGAGCCAGAGCCTGTTATTTCAAACCCTGATATGTATGGTTTGCTTAGAAAAGTACTCCCAAATTTCTGGGAAAAATACCTTTTAACTTGTAGTAGATAGTATGACATAATTAATTAACTGAAATTATTTTGATTTTAGCAAAGCACAGTAGTCTTTTGAAACTAACTTGTCTTTATATAGTTAAATAGGAATCTGTAATGTTTCTCTATTTTTAATTTTTTTAGGATTGGTATCTTATGTTGATCTTGATGAGAGAGCAATAGATGCTCTCAGAGAATTTAACGAAGAAGGCGCCCTCTCTGTATTACAGCAGTTTAAGGAAAGTGACCTGTCGCATGTACAGGTAAGGTAAGAGCTCCTGTGGTGTGAACAAATAGGCCCACAGTGTGGTGTGATGCAGTAAATATGAATAAACGTGTCTGAATTCAGATTTTTTTTTCACAGCAAGACTGTGTTTCCATTCAAATACTAAACATAAAATATAACATTGTATGTGAGTATTAGTGTCTCGTATTAGCCTGATAATTGATAAAGTGCATATGATAGTGCTGCTTTGTTTTAATATTAATATATCAAGTGATGATATATTCAAGATACTGGTTGGTTCTCAGGGTGTAGCTAAGCATTATTCAAGCTTCAGTGGCTTCAGATAATTTTTTAATGCCTTCTGCTTCACTTCTTTTATTAATTATATCTGCAGAACAAAAGTGCATTTTTATGTGGAGTTATGAAGACTTATAGACAGAGAGAGAAACAAGGAAGCAAAGTACAAGAATCAACAAAAGGGCCAGACGAAGCAAAAATTAAGGTAATATATATATATATACATACACACATATACAGGTATTAATAGGAAAGCAAATAAAAGTGGAACTTATTCTCAGGAGTAAAGAACTATATCCCAAAATGAATTTCTCCATTAGTTCCTTTTATAATAAACTGTTACTGTTACAAATGTAAATTGGCAGAAATATCTAAAATAATCCATAATTCCTTCTAAGATAAATTTTGCAAATTGTGAGATTTTTATAGGAAAAAAAATAGGTGCTGAGAAGAGTTATCTGAATCTTACTTTTTTAAATTTTTCAGTTTCTAGCAACTATATAGTTAGCATAACATACGTAGCTGTTCTATTACATGCATTGTTTTAGTGCCTGATAATAAAGATTGGAAATCCCCTCTCTTGAAAAAAAAATTCCCAGTTTGAAGTGGAGAGCATAACAAGACTATTTACTATACTAAAATAGTTTCTTGACTATTGTTACTCACCTTCCCCTTAGCAAAGTTTTTGTGTCTTCAATAAAGTGCATATGATAGAAGTAATGTTTCTGCTAGCCACGGAGAAATAACTGGCAAACTTAATAGAAAATACTAAATACTGCAACTTGGACGCACTGGGGGGAGGGGCGTGGTTATGGGCACCCTATAACTGATCTCACAAAGCCCACAAAATTGCCCAAAGAATGTTAGAGAAGGATTTTGTTCACATTCAGCATTCCTTTTATTTACTTGGCTTTGCTCTCCTTATTGTATTCTTGCTGGCAGTATTTGTAGTGGGAAATAAAAGGCCTTCCGCAAAGGGGTCAAAACCTGACTGTGTAGCCTTGCATGGGGGCCCACACAACCTTAGGGCTGGCTGGACCCATGAGATACCCCCCACCCCCATCTGTATTAACAACTGCTAACGTCTCCATCTTGGAATTTTTCATCTTTTGAAATTTTAGAATGTTATTTTTAAAACTTTAAAACTTTTTAAATCTGAAATTATGCTGATTTTAATGTCAATTTTATTGATTATATTGTACGCTGCCCAGACCCCCTCTTTGAAGGAGATGAGCAGTTAAGAGATATGAATGAATAAAAGAATGAAAGAAATAAGACATGAAATGCAGTCCCACTAAGCACAATTCTGATGTTAACATGTTAGAAACTCTTCAGTGGCGTGCTAAGAAGAAATCTTATCAGACAGATATAATACCATCAATAGCAAAAAAATAATGGGTTTTACCATCTTTAGTTGATATTCTGCATTTCTCTTACAAGCGGTTAAATTTTGCAAATGTGTTCCAGAATATGAAGCAGTGGGGAAAATGTTCTATTGAAAGGGTTCCTTGGGGTGAAGTGTTGTTTTTCCCCTATTGACATTAAAAGCCACTTGGTATCTTTTTTTTTCTTTTAAAAATTCAGGCTTTGTTAGAACGAACTAGCTATACTTTGGATGTGACCACAGGACAACGGAAATATGGTGGTCCTCCTCCAGATACTGTCTACTCAGGATCTCAGCCTGGCATTGGAACAGAGGTTTGCATATGCAGTTTATATGTCTAAATAAGATTATGTTGACTTTAATTATACTAAATAAACAAATAGGAATTATTATAGGTAGTCCTTGATTTACGGCCACAATGGAGTCCAAATTTCCATTGCTAAGCAAGACAGTTGTTAAGTGAGTTGTGTCCCATATTACAATCTCTGAATCACTGCAGTTGTTAAATGAATAAGGTAATTAAGTGAATCTGGCTTTCCCCATTGACTTTGCTTATCAGAAACCAACTGGGAAGGTTGCAAATAGTGATCACGTGACCCTGGGATACTGCAACTGTCATAAATATATGCCCGTTGCCAAGTGCCCAAATTTTGATCACACAATCACTGGGATGCTGCAACAGTCTTAAGTGTGAAAACTGGTCATAAGTCACTTTTTTCAGTGGTGTAACATTAAACAGTCACTAAACAAATGGTTATAAGTTGACAACTACCTGTATTTTATAAATTAAGAAATAAAATAAATTATTCCAGTGCTCCAACACTGGAAGTTTTTAAGAAGAGACTGGACAGCCATTTGTTCGAAATGGTGTAGGGTTTCCTGCCTGAGTAGGGGGTTGGACTCGATGACCTCCAAGGTCCCTTCCAACTTTTTTATTATTATTATTATTATTATTATTATTATTATTATTATTATTATTATTATTATTATTATTATTATTATTATTATTTTAAATTTAGCTTTATCAAAAATACTAACTACTAAGTTACTAACACTGATGGAAATTGCAAAATAGTTTTCGATAGGAGAAAGTGCAGGTGGATTGTTAAATAGTAATGACCTGCTTTTAACAGTAGTGATTATCAGAATCAAAGTATGTGTAATGTAGTGATAGAAATGTTTTTGAAAGCTGTTTTCTCCTGTAAGAGAGATGACTATCCGTTTTTATAAGCAAGTATTCAGTTTGTCACATGGTTTATGATACTTGAAGCAGTTCACATTTATAACTATTTTCAGTTACCTTTCTGTACAAAGGTGCAAGATTCATAATGAAGACTGTATTGAAATACCAGATGTACTGCATATGGCCCATGAAAGCCCTGAGTGCAGCTCCCAGAGCACCCCCAAATTAGGTTTAATTTAATAGGAGGAATAAATTAATAATTAGAGAGAAAATCGTATTAATTACTTCTAATTAACTTATTATGTTTCCAAGAAGATTGCATATTCATGACCAGATTAAAAGCTACAGTACCTTTTAGTTCCTGTTAATAAATATTAGTTCTCCTTTAGGTTTTTGTTGGAAAAATTCCTAGAGACTTGTACGAAGATGAATTGGTGCCACTCTTTGAAAAGGCAGGCCCCATTTGGGACTTGCGACTCATGATGGATCCACTTTCTGGACAGAACCGAGGCTATGCTTTTATCACATTTTGTGGCAAAGATGCAGCACAAGAAGCTGTTAAGTTGGTGAGTGTTCTGCCATAAGACCAGGTATGGTGCAAATTAGAAAAGTAAGTATTTGCCTTACAATTTAGAAATTTTTAGAACAAGATATACTATATAGTCTCACTTTCTCCCTATTTTTTCTCAAACACATCCTGCTTGGGTATTTTTTGTATTTATAGGTAATGTTGGCTGCAATATATAAGTCGCTTGATGGTGAGATGGATGGCATAGAAATTTTAAATAAATAATTAAATAGCAAAATATATTTTATTGGAAACTCTAACTTTTAGAGGTTCTAAAACTCTAAATTTTGTCAATGCAAAAATGCAAATGCTACTAAATAATGTAAATATCTAGTCTTTTAATCAATATAGGCCACTAGAGTATCTGTATTTTCATAAGCTGAAAGTTCATGGGAAATGTTTAATTGTTTTTCTTTCAGTGTGATAACTATGAAATTCGGCCTGGTAAACACCTAGGTGTGTGCATCTCGGTGGCAAATAATAGGCTATTTGTTGGATCAATTCCTAAAAACAAAACAAAGGAGAATATACTAGAAGAATTCAGCAAAGTCACAGGTAAGGAGATGAGGGCATGTGCTTTTGTTAAAAAAAAATGGCTTCAATTTTGTTGTTGTTGTTGTTGTGAAGTCGTGTCCGACCCATCGTGACCCCATGGATAACGTTCCTCCAGGCCTTCCTGTCCTCTACCATCTTCTGGAGTCCATTTAGTGACTCCATCCAGCTACCTCATTTTCTGTTGTCCCCTTCTATTGCCTCAGCCTTTCTTATGGTCCAACTTTCACAGCCATACATTGCAACTGGGAAAACCATGGCCTTGACTATACGTACTTTTGTTGGCAGGTGATGTTTCTGCTTTTTAGTATGCTGTATAGATTTGCCATAGTTTTCCTCCCCAGGAGCAAGAGACTTTTAATTTCTCGGCTGCAGTCCCCATCTGTGGTGATCTTGGAGCCCAGGAAGATAAAATCTGTCACTACCTCCATTTCTTCCCCATCTATTTGCCAGGAATTGAGAGGGTCGGATGCCAGGATCTTGGTTTTCTTAATGTTGAGTTTCAAGCCAACTTTTGCACTCTCCTTCTTCACCCGCATCAAGAGGCTCTTTAGTTCCTCTTCACTTTCTGCCATTAGAGTGGTATCATCTGCATATCTTAGGTTGTTGATATTTCTCCCGGCAATCTTTTTTTTTTTTTTATTGAAAAGTTTTATAAAAGTTACAATATTTACCCCAAAGCCGACCCACCCTAAACCCCCCTCCCCCACTTCCCAGAGCTGAATACAGGGTTACAAATATAATAATCATAATCTAACTAACATTAACCAACTATATAAATAACCAAGTCCATAATGCGCTTTAACTCCCTTTAGCATACCGGCAATCTTAATTCCAACTTTTGATTCATCTAGCCCTGCCTTTCTCCAGCAGAATGGGTGTAGAGTCCACTGATTGGGTTATTTCAGCCTTCCTGCTCAGACTAAGACAAAAAACTTTGCCACGCCTCCCTCTGGGTGTGTCTTCCCCAGTTTTTGTCTTAGTCTCGAGCTCAGCAAGACACTTTTTTAAGGCTCCTTTAGCTAGGCTAGATTAGACTTTTTTTTTCTTTTTCTTTGATTGGATATATTTAAATTGGACTCTGTAGCTTTTATTCGGACTAATTTGGCCTTTCATTTCAAATTCATCAATTTGGGGATTCTCTGAGGAGATAAGGACTCTGTCCTTGCTTCCCCGCTGCCCCCTAGGGGCTAGGAAGTGGGAGGCTGCAGGCTCGACGGAGGGGGTTTTTTCCCAGCGAACTGTCCTCCGCGATCCCGCTGATCAGCTGAGCAGCGGAGATCAACCTTCGGCGAGGAGGCCTCCGGAGCGCAATTCTTCGCGTTGAGGCCTCGAAGGAGCATTCATTGCCTGCAGCCATACTCCGAATCGGAGCGGCTGCTGCACTACCAAACCACAAGTGCTTGGGAACGGGGGGAATTCAAACCTCTTGCTTTCCTTTGTTACTTAAAGCTTGATTCTTCTTGAAAGTTTCATTTTTTCTGGAACTCTAATACTACGGCTGCCATTTTAACCGCATGGTCTTAACGAGGGCGCTATTCTGCAGGCCCACGTGACCGGTGCCATTTTGAAGGCCTCATTTGAGTTACCTGCGGGGGTTTGTTTACAGGCCCATGTGGCAGACGCCATTTTGAAGGCCTACTGGGTCTTACTGCGGTTCATCATTATTGCCTGAGTGCCTTGGCCTGTGAGCAGGCCCGTTCAGGGGGGAAAGAAAAAATATTTCTCTCATTCACAGCTGTGAAATTCTTGATTGCTACCCCAGGATTGGGGCTGGTCTGCATTGAGCAGATCAGGGTGTTCACACCTGAGTTTTCAGATCTAAGGGAGAGGAGCGAAGAGATACCTGTTTGACCACCTGGTTCAATTTAGTTAGTGACCTTTAGTCACAGGGCCTGTACAGGCAGTATTAGCACACTATCTGGCTGATCTTGCCATTGATAACTGTTCAGAGTGAGGATCGGTTTTCCATCTCTGACTGCTTGATCTGCGTATTGGTTTTCCCCCACCTCTAGGTACAACTGCCCAGGAGTACCTAGACTACAATGGCAGACAGTTCCTCGCCCCAGGCAACGCAGACCAGTGTCCCCCCCGCACAAACAAAACGCAGATCAGAGGAAGTGGAAATGGGGGGGGGAGAGAAAAAGCTAAAACCAAACATTTGGCTACAAAGGAAATTTCAAAAACAGCCGAGCGAGAGGCCTCGAGGAGACACTTGGCACTGGAGAGAGAATTCTCCAAGGCAGAGAGGCTCGGATCCAGTGGGGCTGAATTGGTTTCTCCCGCGCCATTGGACATCCCTTCGCTAGAGCCTCAATTTCAATCACTGGAAGCCCCACTATCTTGGTCTCCTCGGGGAAACTGAGCAGGTTGGTCCTCATCGTTCCTCCTCCTCTTCTTCGCTGCCCCAAGCACTAGAGAGCAGGCGTGCCTCAACGGGGGTTGGGGCCAGCTCCAGGGATCAAGAGGAAATATGGTCCCAGAGCCAATTCCAGGCCTTCATGCATCATGCATTCAAACAGTTTATGTCATCCACGGGCCGGGGCCAAGCGCAGTCACATCCCTCCCCTCCCACGTCCGCTCCCCCGCCCCAGGAGGTACATGATACGAGGCCTCGCTCTGATGTTTCAGAGACCTCCTCACAATTAGGAGAGGAGGGATCAATCGACCTGGAAGTAGCAGACACTATATTGTCTGAAAATGAGGACCCAACACCTGAGCAGGTGACATCCTCGGGTCTCTTCGACCCTTCCATATTTCGGTCTCTTCTCCTAAAGGCCATAGCCACGGTAAAGCTTACTTCAGCTCAGGAGGAGGCACCATCTACCTCCTCGAACCAGGAGGCCAACCCCCTGTTTGCGGAAAAGGTCAGGGAGGAGCCTCAGATTCCATGTCCGTCAGTCTTCAGGACTACGGTGGAAAAGCAGTGGTCATCCCTAGCCACCACTCCATCTCCGAGTAGTTTGGACAAGAAACTTTATAATGTTGCTTCTTCCTTTGCCTCTCTTCTAGAAGTTCCGACTGTGGACGCCCCTCTGGCATCTCTGTTCTCCAACACCGCCGTCCCTGGGGACATGGCTGAATTCCTAAAAGCGGAGGACAAAAAGTTCGAGTTCTCACTTCTCAGGGCTCACCAATCTTCGGCTTGGGCAATAAGGGCGGCAACCTCATCCTCCTTCTTTGCACGTTCCGCGATAATGTGGCTGCAGGATCTCCAGGCTCTCATCCCGCCAGATCAGGTCAGGGCACACCAAACACTAGGCAAGATTGTGGCAGCTTCCGAGTACATTGCGGATGCATCTCTGCATTCGGCCAGGTGCTCGGCCCGATCGGTTGCGGCCACAGTGGCGTCACGAAGGCTTCTCTGGTTGAAGCAGTGGCGAACAGACTTAAAGGCAAAGTGGCGCCTGTCAACTTCCAGGTACAGTGGAACGCACTTATTCGTTGTGCTAGAACCTCATGTCATTGAGGGCAAAGATAAGCGCAAAGTCTTGGCTCACCCTTCCCAAAAATTGGATAGGCGACCTCAACTAGATTACCGTAGGCCGGCCTTCCGCCCCAGTTGTTCCTGGGAGTGGAGACAGCCCTTTCGGGCAGGGCAGTCCTGGGGTTGGCCCAGAGGCTCACGGTCCTATCTTTCCAGACAGGATCGCCAGCAGGACCGCCAGATCAGTGGAGCCAGGGGCCATTCCCAGATCAAGCGTCCCTTCAGGGGTTCTGGCAGCCAGCCATACAGGCGGTCCAAGTGATGCCAAGGAGGATTACCCCATTGGTGGTCGGCTGGCACTGTTTTACGACATCTGGGAGAGCACAACTACGGACGCTTGGGTCAGGGAGACCATAAGACACGGTCTCTCCCTAGAGTTTCGATCTTTTCCCCCAGATCGTTTTATACGGTGCCCGGTTTCAAACAATTGTTCAAAGGCTCATCTAGTCTCGATAGCCATCGCACACTTATTTGACATCAGGGCCATAGAAAGGGTACCTCAGGACCAGATAGGAGTAGGCTTTTACTCCATCCTGTTTGTAGTCCCCAAAGCCTCAGGAGGTTGGAGGGCGATACTGGACCTGAAGGGTCTAAATTACTTCCTAACTTACAGGAAGTTCAAGATGCAGACCCTAAAGTCCATCTTTGCAAGCATCAGAAAAGGGGACTTCCTTTCCTCTATCGACCTGACAGAGGCTTACCTCCACATTCCGATCCTACAGGATTACCGCAGGTTCCTGCGGTTCTGTTACGCACACCGGCATTACCAGTATCGGGCTGTTCCCTTCGGCCTCTCTTCGGCTCCGAGGGTCTTCACAAAGATCTTGGCTGTGCTGGCGGCTCATCTAAGGATGAGGCCCGTGCGTGTACAGTGCTACCTGGACGATATACTCGTGCAGTCCAGATCTTTCCACTCAGCCCAGTCGGACCTAGATATCACAATCCATACTTTTCAGGTTCACGGGTTCTCCGTGAACTTCAAAAAGAGTCACATAACACCCACAAGATGTCTGCTCCATCTGGGAGCACTGATAGATTCGAACCTATGCAAAGTCAGTCTATCTCCGGAGCGCCAGGTCAGCATTCGGGTGCTGGTCCAGCAGATCCGCAGGGAAAAGAGGGTGCCTCTGGTACAACTCTCTCAACTCCTGGGGAAGATGGTCTCTTGTTTGGGCATTGTTCCGTGGGCCAGGCTCCACTCCAGGAGCCTCCAATGGTTTCTCCTTCCCTTTCAGAGACACAACATCAGTGCATCCAAAAAGAAAGTCAGGGTTCCACAACTCACACTGGATTCACTCCTATGGTGGACCTCGTCCGCCTTGGCAAAGGGCATTCTTTTCAAGGAACCGATCAGGACTACCCTAACCACAGACGCCAGTCTGTTCGGTTGGGGGGCACATCTTCACAACCATTTAGCATAGGGTCGGAGTCCAGGTCCAACTTGGCTCACAACATCAATTGGTTGGAGCTCAGGGCCATTCACCTGGCTCTCCGGAAGTTCTCCTCCCTCGTGGCAGGGAAACATGTGTTGATCCTGACAGACAACATTGCGGCCAAGGCTCACGTAAACAAACAAGGAGGGACCCACTCTTGGCCCCTCATGCAGGAAGCCCTGGCATTGGATCTTTGGGCAGAGTCCACTCTGAGCTCCATCAGAGCGGAACACATTTCGGGGGAGGCAAATCAACAGGTGGACTCCCTGAGCAGGGCCACTGTGGACCATGCGGAGTGGAAACTGGGTCCACACTTATTCAGGGAGATAGCTCACAGGTTCGGCCACCCTGTCCTGGATCTCTTCGCTTCTCCGGAGAATGCACAGCTCCCCAGGTTCTTTTCCAGATTCCCGTCATGGGGGGCAGAGGGAACGGACACCCTCCGGAGCGTATGGCCGGAGGGCGTACTTTATGCCTTTCCCCCTCTTCCTTTGCTCCAAGCAACTATTCGCAAGCTCCTGCAAGAACGAGCGGAGCTAATCTTAATTGCTCCATTTTGGCTGCGTCGGCCGTGGTTTGCCGACCTGGTGGACCTGTCGCTCTCGCCACCGTGGAGAATTCCCCCGGACCGAGTAGCTCTCAGCCAGGGGAACCTCCAACATCCGGATCCGCAGTGGCTCCAACTAGCCGCTTGGCACTTGAGCGGGAAGGTCTAACCAGACAGTCCTATTCCTCCGGGGTGATCTCAGTTATCCAGGCCTCACGGCGTCCATCAACCAATAGGATCTATGATGCCACTTGGAAAAACTTCTGCTCCTGGTGTAGACGGAAGTTCCTCTCGCCGCTTTCTGTCACTATCCGTGATATATTGGAGTATTTGCTTGAGGGGTTAAATAGGGGTCTATCTGTCAGCACCATACGCAGGCAGGTAGCGGCATTATCGATGGTTCTCACTTGTGACAACCAAGATTCCCTGTCTCACCACCCAGCGGTTGGTGCCTTTCTCAAGGGTGTGGCGAACACTGGCCCACCTACAGCCCATCGTTACCCATCCTGGGATTTGCCCAAGGTGCTGCAGGCGTTAACTTCTCCTCCATTCGAACCATTGAGTTCGTGTTCCCTACACTTTCTCACCTTGAAGGTGGCCTTCTTAGTGGTCATTACATCGGCCAGGAGAATTTCGGAATTAGCCGCTCTATCAGTCAGGAAGGATCTCTGCACATTCCACGAGGACAGGGTGGTCCTCAGGTTGGATCCGGCATTCATTCCAAAGGTCAATACAGGGTTCCATCGGTCACAGGACCTGGTACTCCCTAACTTCTGTCCTAACCCTTCCCATCGTCTGGAGAGAAAGTGGCATATGTTGGACGTGCGCAGGGCTCTGCGCCATTATCTTAAACGGACCTTGACCTTCAGGAAGTCAGAGGCCTTATTCGTATCTTTTCAGCCGTTTACGATGGGTAGGAAGGTCTCTTCTTCTACCATTGGACGGTGGATTAGAGCTTGTATCACGAGGGCTTACGTTTCGCAGTTCCTTCTCAAATCACGGCCCACTCTACGCGCAGTGCTGCGGTATCAGCAGCCTGGTCTACCCAGGCTTCGCTCGAGATTTGCAGGGCGGCGACCTGGTCATCACCTTCTTCCTTCATTAGGCATTATAGGATTGACAGATTTGCATCGGCGGATGCTGCCTTTGGTAGACAGGTTCTACAGCAAGTAGTTACCTCTCAAGGGACACAGGCCTAGACCCCCTCCCTTCAGGGACATGAGCGGCTTTGGTATGTCCCAATCAGTGGACTCTACACCCATTCTGCTGGAGAAAGGGGTGTTGTCTTACCTGAACGCCTTTTCTCAGCAGGATGATGTAGAGTCCACGCCCCCCCCCCCTGTTTGTTATTTGTCTAGGCATGTGTCTTTTATTTTTTTGTTTGGAGCCTTGCATCTGGATACTTCGCCTCGACAAAAACTGGGGAAGACACACCCAGAGGGAGGCGTGGCAAAGTTTTTTGTCTTAGTCTGAGCAGGAAGGCTGAAATAACCCAATCAGTGGACTCTACACCATCCTGCTGAGAAAAGGCGTTCAGGTAAGACAACGCCCCTTTCTCATGATGTGCTCTGCATATAAGTTAAATAGGCAGGGCGACAGAATACAGCCTTGTCAGACTCCTTTCCCAATTTTGAACCAATCAGTGGTTCTGTGTCCAGTTCTCACTGTTGCTTCTTGACCCGCATATAGGTTTCTCAAGAGACAAATAAGATGGTCTGGTACTCCCATCTCTTTAAGAACTTGCCACAATTTGTTGTGATCCACACAATCAAAGGCTTTAGCATAGTCAACGAAGCAGAAGTAGGTGTTTTTCTGGAACTCCCTAGCTTTCTCCATAATCCAGCGTATGTTGGCAATTTGATCTCTAGTTCCTCTGCCTCTTCGAAATCCTGCCTGTACTTCTGGAAGTTCTCGATCCACATACTGCTGGAGTCTAGCTTGTAGGATTTTAAGCATAACCTTACTTGCATGTGAAATGAGTGCAATGGTGTGATAGTTTGAACATTCTTTGGCATTGCCTTTCTTTGGAATTGGAATGTAAACTGACCTTTTCCAATCCTGTGGCCACTGTTGAGTTTTCCAAATTTGCTGGCAAATTGAATGTAGCACTTTTACTGCATCGTCTTTTAAGATTTTGAATAGTTCAGCTGGAATACTGTCACCTCCACTAGCTTTGTTGTTGCTCAGCTTTCCTAAGGCCCATTTCACTTCACATTCTAGGATGTCTGGCTCGAGGTCAGTGACCACCCCATCGTGGTTATCAGGGACGTTAAACTCATTCTTTTATAGTCCTTCTGTGTAATTTTGCCACCTCTTCTTAATCTCTTCTGCCTCTGTTAGGTCCCTGCCATTTTGGTCCTTTATCATGCCCATCTTTGCATGAAACGTTCCCTTCATATCTCCAATTTTCTTGAAAAGATCTCTGGTTCTCCCTATTCTATTGTTTTCTTCTATTTCTTTGCACTGTTCATTTAAGAGGGCATTCTTTTCTCCAGCACAGGAGATGGAGAAACCACCAATGGATTAACTCTGTCTTCCTGCCCATTTGACCAAGTCAGCCAAACTTGCCACGCCTGTCCTGGGCTAGGCCACATCCAGTCTTGACTTGGTCTCAACCCTACAGGACGTGACAAACTTGGCTCCCGGCAGGTTGTATTGCCTTTTGCATTGTTTATACCATTGGTGAATTCTCCTGAAATCCTCAGTCATTTCTACAGCGCTGGGATCAGTGCTGTTACAGATGACTGTGGAAACTTAGGTTTCCCTTTAGTTCCTCAGAGATCCTTGTAGGAAAGAAGGCTTCTCTTACTCTCTGAACCTTACCTCACAGTCTGCAGTGCTGGGATCAGCGCTGCAGCTGGATTGATTAGACCTTCGGGGGGGGGGGGTCCTCGATGAATTGGCTTCCTCTCTCCAACATCTGAGGCAGGTTCGAGGAAATTTGTTTTGGCATCTGCCGCTGAGGGATCATGAAAGCCTAGGAGGGCCCCCTTTCCCATCAGATTGAGTAGCCGCCATCTTTTCACGCCGGATTTTAAATTTTGTGCCGAATTGATCACCCCCAGGATCTAGGAAACTTGTTTTTTTGGCAGCAGCTTGCCTTTGACAGCAGCCGCTGCAGAATCGCTGAGGCCCCAAACGGTCTCTTTTCCACCGGTTCGAGCGGCAATCACTCTTTCGGCCCAAATTGCTCCTTTTTGCACCGAATCACCTCCGCGGGATTGCGGAGGCCCCAGACAGTCCCCTTCCACCAGATTGAGCGATCGTCAGGTTTCGGGCTGAATCGTTCCTCTCGCGCTGGATTGCCACTGCAGGATCACGGAGGCCCCAGACGGCTCGCTTTTCTGTCGGATCGAGCGGCTAGTACTAGCCCTCTGCTCTTCCCCAGTAGCCTATTGGACACCTTCCGACCTGAGGGGCTCATCTTCCAGCGTCATATATTTTTGCCTTTTGGTACTGTCCATGGGGTTTTCATGGCAAAGATACTGGAGTGGGTTGCCATTTCCTTCTCCAGTGGATCACATTTTGTCAGAACTCTCTGCTATGACCTGTCCTTCTTGGGTGGCCCTGCATGGCATAGCTCATAGCTTCATTGAGTTACGCAAGCCCCTTCGCCACGACAAGGCAGCAATCCATGAAGGAGGGCTTCAATTTCATATATTAATTTAGAAGCCACCAGATTCCTGGATGACTGCGGGAGGCAAAAACAGCACCTCCATTTCCCAAAGAATTGATACATTGCACCAGAACTGAAAGCAATTGCATCTTTCATGAGGTGGTCTACAAATAATTGTGATGAGATGAGTAACACTTTCATATTTCCTGTAGCAGAAAAGCTTGAAAAAATGGTTCAAAATAATATATCAAAATCCAGCCAGGGCTGAATCACCAGCCCATTTGAAGTAGAATCCCTACCTGTGATTCAGAAGAATATTTCCTTATTCTGAATACCTGATATCTGCTAGGTAGTAGTTAAAGCAATGAGTCTGTTTTTGCCATTTTATAAAAAGTGACAGTCATGAGCTGTGATTCTTTCATCTCTGTGCTGGGTCAGGGAGCATCATTTTTATCTGTTTGCCAGAAGCAAATGCGGTATTACAACAGTAAACAGAGTAAAAAGAGCAACTTTGTAGAATCTTAAGAGTTTCCTTTATGCTCCCCAAAAGGTGTATTTTCACAGCACATTAGTTAAGCCAGGGGTCTTCAAACTTGGCAACTTTAAGACTTGTGCACTTCAACTCCCAGAATTCCTCAGCCAGCCAAGTCTTCAGCATCCTTAATAGTTTATCTTGAAACCTCTTTTTTAATTAGCCTTTCAAATGAGAAAAGTTTTAGTCTTCAGTTATTTATCAGGTGTTTTGTTCTTATAGAAGGTTTAGTTGATGTGATCCTGTATCATCAACCGGATGATAAAAAGAAGAATCGGGGGTTCTGCTTCCTTGAATATGAAGATCACAAATCAGCAGCTCAAGCTCGACGCCGGTTGATGAGTGGGAAAGTGAAAGTCTGGGGAAACGTCGTTACTGTTGAATGGGCTGATCCAGTAGAGGAGCCAGATCCAGAAGTCATGGCAAAGGTAGTAAAGTAGTAGCTAAAATTGGCACGATCTGAATTAAACTTCACCGACAGGTTTATTTTTTTCCTTCTTCATTATTTCTAGAATACCTGTTTACCTTGCGCTCTCTCTCTCTCTCTCTCTCTCTCTCTCTCTCTCTCTCTCTCTCTCTCTCTCTCTCTCTCTCTGTGTGTGTGTGTGTGTGTGTGTGTGTGTGTGTGTGTGTGTGTGTGTGTTTGTTAGGCCATGTTGCACTCAAGGGATAAATGTACAAAAGTGCCATTGTGTGTGTGTGTGTGTGTTTGTTTATGCATATAAACAATATAAGATTTATATCTGGTAAAAAGTAATTTCTAGGTGTTTTCAGAGATGATGATTCTAAGCATCATGATCCATCATAGATTCTTTTTTTCTGGATTACATCCTGAAGCACACCATTCCAGCAGCACTCTATGTTTTTCATTAGTTTGATAGCTGAGTTAGAAAGTAGAGTATTTGCTAATCAATGCCTATTATTGTTTAGAAATGGGTTTTTTAAAATTGAGGAAAATGGAAATATTGTTATCTTCACACATGGAATCTCAAGAGGGAGGAGTAAAGGGCTTTACTGAAAAATTTCTATAGAGCAAACATTGTTTTTTAACTGCTTTTAGTTGGCACTATTCATAGTGAAGGTAAAAATAAGAGTTGAAAAAACTCTTATGATTGAGGTAGCTACAAATCTTTCTTTAGGCCGTAGTGTTCTCTGGGCAGGTTTGCATGACTGAATAGATCCTGAATGAATGTGGGAATTGTTTTCCAAATCAGCATGACTGGAAACCACTTATCCAAGGTTTTTTTTAAGGCTCCTGTGTCTTCTTTCCACCTAAACAAGTTAGAAAGGGAGCAAGGGGTGTTTTGTTTTGTTTTTTTGGCATCTTATAGCTAGAAAAAGTTGTCACTCCTCACATTGATGACACAGTAATCTGAAAACGAATCATTGCACTGCAAAAGTTGCTGTGGTTTCTATAGTTTAATTAATAATAAGCACAAGGGGGATTTGGCCTTACAGACAGCTTAAAAATATTTTAAATAAATGCCAGTTTTCTTAACAGGTGAAAGTTCTATTTGTGAGGAATTTGGCCACTACAGTGACAGAGGAAATATTGGAGAAATCATTTTCTGAGTTTGGAAAGCTGGAAAGAGTGAAGAAATTAAAAGATTATGCTTTTGTTCATTTTGAAGATAGGGGAGCAGCAGTTAAGGTAGGTAACATTGTTATTAAGCAAAATTGCGTGGCTCAGAACTTACAGAATATCTTCTTAAAAGCAGACCTTTTTTCTCATATGGAGTGAGTTATAATTAGGTGTCCTCTTGTACATAGTTGTGCTACCATTTCCTGTCATTCCTGTGAGTTATTCCTTAACTTTCTAAACAAGAAACATGCTTCTACTATTCTGCTGTCTTTATTGCAAAAATAGTTATGGTTCATAGATCTTCCTACGAAGCAGCCTGAGACTTCCTTTACTTCCCTAGTAAGACTCATAATGTTAATATAGCTTTTTACACAGTTGACTCATAATGCTAATACAACTCTTTTACACAGTTTCTCCAAGGGTAACTTCTATCCACATCCCCCATTGAACTCAGATTTATTCTGACAAAATGTGGGCACAGTTGCATAGGAATGTCCTTCATCTTCCATTTTTATTCCAATAATCAAAGTAATAACTCACTTCT